AATCACGAACGAAGACAAATTTTAAATTTTATTTTATTTTTTAGTGTTGGAGGGTCATTTATCGGAATTTAGGCTAGTTTTGATAAAAAACGGTGAGGTCCAATTCTTGGAATGAGTAGTACTTCAGCCTAACTGGGCCGCCTATTTACTTTACTTACTTACTTACGCCTGTTACCCCCAATGGAGCATAGGCCGCCCACCAGTTTTCTCCAACCAACTCTGTCCTGGGCTTCCCTCTCCAGTTCTGTCCAATGTTTGTTAATTCCTCTCATATCTTTCTCTATTTCTCGGCGTAGTGTGTTCCTTGGCCTTCCTCTTTTCCTTTTGCCTTGAGGGTTCCATGTGAGGGCTTGTCTAGTGACGCAGTTGGGTGCTTTTCGTAGTGTATGTCTTATCCACTTCCACCGCTTCTTCCTGATTTCCTCCTCCACTGGAATCTGATTTGTTCTCTCCCACAGTACGTTGGTGCTGATCGTGTCTGGCCAACAAATCCGAAGTATATTGCGTAGACAACTGTTAATGAATACTTGTATCTTCTGGATGATGGCTTTAATAGCTCCATACAGTGGAACTGTGCTGACATATGTACTGAGAATTCTGAATTTGGTGTTGATTGATAATTGTTTTGAGTTCCAGATATTGTTCAATTGTAGAAATGTAGCCCTTGCTTTGCCGATCTGCGCCCTCACATCTGCATCGTAACCACCTTGATTGTCGATGATGCTGCCTAGATGTGTAGAGGTGTTAACGTCCTCCAAGGTATCTCCATCAAGCGTGATTCGGTCGGTGCATGTTGTGTTGCATCGGAGAATTTTGCTTTTTCCTTTATGTATGTTGAGACCTACTGCTGCAGAGGCTGCTGCTACACTGGTCGTCTTCTCTTGCATTTGTTGTTGAGTGTGCGATAGAAGAGCCAGGTCATCTGCGAAGTCCAGATCGTCCAGCTGCGTCCTAACTGTCCAGTTGATACCGTGCTTCCCTCCAGATGTTGACGTCTTCATAATCCAGTCGATGACCAGGAGAAAGAGAAAGGGTGAGAGTAAGCAACCTTGCCTGACACCGGTCTTCACCTCAAAAGAGTCTGTCAGCTGACCTCCGTGCACGATTTTGCAGTTGAATCCATCATAAGAATTCCGTATGATGTTGACTATTTTCTCAGCCACACCGTAGTGTCGAAGAAGCCTCCACAGTGTTTTCCTATCCACGCCGCCTATTTAACGGCCGTCAAGTTACTGAGTCTGATGAATTCAGACTTAAAATTTATGCAGTTTACTTTGACCAGCCTTTTTAAAAACCCAAGGATAGATGGTGCTATGAAGGAGTACTAGGTGATGAGACAAACGATCATGAACCTCTATGGCAACGTAAGATGACTAAAGAGTATACAAACAGAAATCAAAAACTTGCCCTCTAAGTGGGATGTGAATATCAATATCTCAAATGAAGCTCGAATACCTTTTGATAGCACAGTAGAGGAAGTGTAATTGCAAAGCATGACACTTCTGCTTAGACAGGTAAACAAAACAGTACCAGATTAACTAGTTATCACTCTTACTAATTGCTTATAGATAGATAGATCCAGAAATCAGAAAGAAGACAATGGCAGGATGAAGAGCTGTTTTGGTTCATGGTCTCGTGATATCGAAATAATATCAAAACCGGAATAAACAAGCAGCCGGAAACCACCGATGAGAAACGCGGAATCGGAGTTACACGCTTGGCGCGCGAGCTATAGTCTTTAGTACAGTTAAACAAAAGGAGTGCAATAGAACAGTTATTGTTAGAATTAAGTACAATAATAAATGTTTCCATTTCTCTTCATTAATGTATACCACCACAAAAGTATGCAATAAAGAGGAGTTTATCTCGAATATTTAGTGTGGACGACTGGGGAAAGAATTAAACCAAGCAAGCCTCTCAGTCAGAAAATAGTTGGAAAACTCGTGACTTTCAATCGTTTCCATTATTCTAGCGATAAGTAAAGTGATATATGGATCGATAATTGAGAATATCAGATTTGGTCCCTGATTTGCGGCGTGGTATGATGTTCGATGTCTTCCAGCAGTCATGATAATTATCAGCTTCGAGAGAGAGACAGTCAATACGTTAAGAGAAAGTAGTACTTCAGATCAACCGTAACTGTTTGACACCTTAAGGGAGCCTTTTAGCAATTTTATCTTTGCGTCTTTCATCAGCAGTGGTGATAACAATGATACCAGTAATAACACACTCATATAAATGGAACGTGTTTGTACAAAAAGTGAGTCGTTTTTCCCTCAAAAATTATTGTATTTTGTCTAACTACGGACATATATGGTCGATTAGTTGAATAGTCTTCATTCAAAAGAATTCATTTTATTTTGAGGACTTACATGTTTAGTCTCTCATCATATTAACGAAGCTTCATACTCTGAAAGTGTGACCAAAAAATATTTTCTCTCGGGTTATTTAAAAGTCATTCTTCAAGCAACTTGTACTGTCAGATGGATAGACGTACAAAGTGAAGAACCTGATACTAGTGAGCATACACTTAGTTTGTCAGACTTTATACTAATACTGCATCGTCGAATTAACACGATAAGAAGTATGTAAATTTATTTCGACAGTGGCCGTCCCAATTATCTCCAATAGAAGCACTCCTGTACGTTTTTCCTAGTCCCGGGTCCCAACCAATGCAAAAAAGGACAAAATTCTAGGAGAAAACGTCTCTGTATTATTAGAAAATGCAAATACAAAGCCTTACGGAATTTGTGTTTCTTCCAGGGTTAAGTTACTCCGCA